AATAATACTGTCAAATAATAATACTGTCAAATAATAATACTGTCAAAATTGACCTTACTCCAGTTTAAAACTTTGACTTTTTGATCAGTTCTATCCTTTTCCATAACTATTTTAAAACCAGCACAAATACGATCACTTGCCTCAAAGTGCTCCCCCACTGACACCTCAGTCACTTGCCCTGCCTTACTTCCCAACAGAATGTCAAGTATTGCTCCTTCTCTAGTAGGTACACTCACATACTAATTAAGAAAGTTTTCTTGTACACACACAACAAATTCCTCCCCATCCAAGGCCTTAACTCTATGACAGTCCCAGCCCATGTTTGGAAAGTTGAAATCCCCTACCATTACAGCCCTATTATTATTATTACAGATAATTGAGATCTCCTGACATATTTGCTTCTCAATTTCCCACTGATCATCCCTTTCTTATTTTTAAGGTCCACCCATGTAACATCACTAGATGATCTTCCAGGAATATCCTCCCTAAATACAGCCGTAAAGTTCTCCCTAATCAAAACAGCCACTCCCCCCTCTGCTCTTGCCCCACTTTCTATCCTTGCAATAGCATCTATAACTCAGAACATTAAGCTACCGGTCCTGATTCTTCCAAAAACTCAATCGAGTTTGTGAGACACAACCTTGTCCGCACAAAGTCATGCTGCCTGTCGCTAATAAGCCCATATTTTTCCAGGTGGGAGGGGTTAGGGAACCATGGCACAAAGTGTCACTGGCTGAAAGTACACTGGGAAGTACAAGAGGTAAGAACTGAAATAACGAAGGTACCTCAGACGGTCAGAGGAGGAGCAGAGATTACACAGTGTGAGGAATTGTAGAAATTCCAGTGTGTTTATTTCTGTTCATGGCCTCCCAAAGGACCCAAATGTTACAAAGAAGATGTTGTTGAACCTGGAGCTGATGCAGGCCAATGAAGGCTGGAATGACATGTGTTGGGATACAGGCAGAGGAGTTAGCCTGCAAGAATCCAGGAAACTGCCAGGATGTGCCCACAAACCACCCTAGAGGTGAAATCTAGAACTAGGGCTGACATGTGTTTGAAATTCTCTTCCCCAACCAACAGTGAGAAAGGGGTACTGAATATATTTGAGGCTGAGTTAGACTGGTTTTTAATTGACTGCTCCACTGTCCTATGTTCTTCCATTAACTTGGGGTGGAGATCAAATCAAAGCAAGGTCCCATCACCCACTCATAACTCTGTGAAAAGTACAAAGCTCCTATATAGTTTCTGTACCTCCTGCATCAGGAAATCAAAGCCACATTCAGACAGTAATGAAATTTCTCACTTCCGTTTCTGGCCCAGCAATCACATGTTCACGGCACTGCAATATCACACTGCTGAAAGACCTTTCTGTATGCCTTCCCTGCTCTGATGGTCAGTTAGCTCAATTGGCTGAATGGTTAGCTCGCAATGTAGAGCAATACCAACAGCGTGGGTTCAATTCCTGCACTGGAGAAGGTCACTGTGAAGGTTCCTGCTTTCTCAATCTTGCCCCCTCATCCACAGGGTGACCCACAGGTTTAAATCAACCACTAGTTATGTTATTCTCTAATAAGACCAGAAGTCCTAGGATTACCTATGGCTGCACCCCTCAGCCTGATATCAATTCAGCACAGCGTAGGCTTTTGTGCAACAATGGTAGGGTCCCTACCTCTGAACCTGGTTCAAATCCTGCCTGCTCCAGAGCTATGCAATAACATTGATTAACAGGTTGATTAGGAAAAGATCTACCTTCACTGTGTTTATATGGGCCTCTTCCTCCTTCTGACTCTTACTGACCTCCACCAGTTCTTTCTGCAGCGAATCCACCTTTTTCTGCAGCATGCCCTGGAACACAGGAAGGAACAGCTGTTAGTGATCAGGAGGTGCATTCTCTGCACTGACCCTAGTACACGTGGAGGAATTTGTGACTGAGAGATAGTCGGATAGGTGCCATCTCACAGGATGGGATGCTTTGTCGACAGCATGTTTAAGCCACATGTCATTATCCCTTTCCTTGAAAAGGTTGCAAAGTGCTGAAGCAAATGAAGGTGCTAGTCTGTGGGGAGAGAATTGGGTCTTTGGGTTTTTTTTTCTGATGTAGAGATACAACAGTTGGACATCTGCTTTATCTAGAGTTTTTTTTTCCTTTATTCTTTTATGGGATGAGGGTTTCACTGGCTAGGCAGCATTTATTGCCCATCCCTAGTTGCCCTGAGGGCAGTTAAGAGTCAACCACATTGCTGTGGGTCTGGAGTCACATTTAGGCCAGAACAGGTAAGGATGGCAGTTTCCTTCCCTAAAGGACGTGAATGAACCAGATGGGTTATTCCAACAATTGACAATGGATTCACAGTCATCATTAGACTCTTAATTCCAGATATTTATTGAATACAAATTCCACCATCTGCCATGGCAGGATTTGAACCCAGGTCACCCAGAACGTTGTCTGGGTCTCTGGATCAACTGTCCAGCAATAATACCACTAGGCCATCACCTCCCCATTTACTCTGCAGTGTAATGTTATTACACTGCCTGATGATATTAAATCTGGTTATGTGGTATGAATTCAATAATAGTTCTGTTTCTTTCCTATGCTGAATATGGTACAAGCAGAGGTGAGCGCAGGAGTACATATGAGGTGGTGGCCTCGTGGTATTTTTACTAGACAGTTAATCCAGAGACTCAGATAATATTCTGGGCACTGAAGTTCAAATCTCGCTAAGGCAGATGGTGAAATCTTAATTGAAGTTCAATTGAAAAAGATCTAGAATTAAGAGTCTAATGATGACTATGAAGCTACTGACGATTATCATAAAACCCATCTGATTCACTAATGTCCTTTATGAAATGTGCCATCCTTATCTGGTCTGGTCCACGTGACTCCAGACCCACAACCATGCAGTTGACTCTTAACTGCCCTCTGGGTAGTTAGCAATGGGGGCCCTACCTTTAAAAAAAAAAGAAACTGTCATTTTCTCTAAAACCAAGATGCTGGAGGTCTGAAACAAAAACAGAAACTGCTGGTGAAATTCAACAGTTCTGGCTGCATTCCTGGGCAGAAAGCAGAGTTAACGTTTCAAGTCCAGTGACTCTTCACCAGAACTTCACAGTTCTGGATATTTCCTCATCATAAGTTCAGAAGTGCTTCAGAGGTTGTGTACTAAGAATGCTGAAATGTTTTTGAAGGCAGGGTGGCACAGTGGCTCAGTGGTTAGCTCTGCTGCCTAACACTGTGAAGGACTTGGGTGAATTGTGTGGAGTTTGTACATTTGCTGTGTCTGCAAGGGTTTCCCCGGGTGCTCCGATTTCCTTCCACAGTCTGAAGGTGTGCAGATTAGGTGAATTAACCACGCTAAATTGGCCATTGTGTTTAGGATGTACAGGCTAGGTGGGTTAGTCATGGGAAATGAAGGGTTAGGGGGCTGGGGCTGGGTCTGGGTGGAATGCTGTTTGCAGGATCAACGTGGACTCAATGGGCCGAATGACCTGCTTCCATACTGTAAGGATTCTAGCTCTTTGCTTCCTTGCCCGCCTCCAAAGTTCATGAGCAGGTAGCGGCTTCTGGAAAAGGACATCAATGCTGGGAACTTGGTCGACAAGGTGATCAGGATACGCAGACCATCCGAGTGTTACCCCACAAAAGGTGTGGAAGTTCAAACCCGGAGTGGGTTCAAAACAGAAATCAATAGTTTTTCAGGAGACTTTAAGAGAAATAGAGATAGTGTGGAAGTAGTGGCCCTGGAGTAGTTTGATCATCCTTGACTCAATTACACAGAAACACCAAAGACAGGAGCAGGAGTAGGCCATTCGGCCCTTCCACCCTGCTCTACCATTCAACACCTAATTCCATTCCCTGTTCCTGTTTTTTTCCCCCCAGACCCTTTGATCCCATTAAACCATAAGACCTATATAAGAAACAGGAGCAGGCCTTGTGGCCTATCAAGCCTGCTCCACCATGCAATAAGATCATGGCTAATCTTTTCATGGACTCAGCTCCACTTACCCGCCCACTCACCATAACTCTTAATTCCTTTACTGTTCAAAAACCTATCTTTGCCTTAAAAACATTCAACGAGGTAGCCTCAACTGCTTCACTGGGCAGGGAATTCTGTAGATTCACAACCCTCTGGGTGAAGAAGTTTCTCCTCAACTCAGTCTTAAATCTGCTCTCCCTTATTTGGGGGCTATGCCCCCTAGTTCTAGTTTACCTGCCAGTAAAAACAAGTCACTGTTTCTGCCTTATCTATTCCCTTCATAATTTTATATGTTTCTATAAGAACCATTGCCCTCCCCCGACCCCCACCCATTCTTCTAAATTCTAATGAGTACAGTCCCCCAGTTGACTCAATCTCTCCTCATGAGTCAGGCCTGTCAATTTCGGAATCGACCTAATGTACCTCCTCCGGCCACGGCACATCCTTTCTCAGCCCCTCCTTGAAAACATTCAATGTTGTGGCCTCAATGCTTTCTGTCGCAGAGAACTCCACAGGTTCCCACACACTCTTCTCTTCCTCTCTTTCGTTCCTGTTCCTGTTCCTTCTCTCTCTCTGGGTGAAGACATTTCTCCTGGTCTCAGTCCTCAGTGGCGTAGCCCTTTTAGCTTTAGACTGTGACTCCACCCCCCC